TTAAAAAAAATCTTTGGGTATTAGGTTCAGGAATCTGTGTTTTAACAAGCTCTCCTGATTCTTAACGCACACTAAGGTTTGAGAATCATCGCCTTAAATTATGGTTGCCTATGTTTGGGAAGTCTTGCTCTTTCAAGAAATCCAACTGATCACATCCTTGAATTTCTTCTTACAGTTCAAGTCACTAAATTTCCACTGTGCATCTGTCACAAAATATCTTTTGAGTACCTACTCTGTGCTCCGCTGGCACATACCAGGCTCTTGTGTTGGCCATGGAAGGTAAGAGGGTGAATGAACAAGACTAGAATTAATCTCTGTATCCCTTCTTGGTAGGTACAGACCGGATTGAAGTAGCCAACACAGATGGCAGCATGAGAACAGTACTCATCTGGGAGAACCTTGATCGTCCTCGGGACATTGTGGTGGAACCCATGGGCGGGTGAGTGGCTGCCCCTTGGGAATGACCTCCACCCACCCCTCCCAAGATCTGACTTCCAGAGAGAAGTCTAAAGATTAGGAAAAGTGGCCAAATCTTATGGATATACAAGGAATCAAGAGCAGCTATAGAAACCAGAGGCTGGTGACAACTTTGTATTCTCTGTGGACAAGGAAACTTTTCAATTCTTCCTTTCCTTATCTCATTTTTATTGTTGGTTAGCTTACAAAAGTAACTCATTGTTAAAAAAATTTTAATCTGTAGCAAGTAAAAATTCTCTGTGATCTCACTCTCCAGCAGTAAGTTAACAATTTAGGGTATTTTTTTTCCTACTAAATGTATGTAAACATTTGTTATTGGTGGTAATGGTTTTGGTTTTACAAAAATAGCAGATTTTTGTGACTTTTTTCTGCTTGCCTATATATCTTGTGTATCTTTCCAGTTGAGTGTATAGATCTACCTTGTTTTTGTTGTTGCTGTTTGTTTGTTTTCAGACAGGGTCTTGCTCTGTGGCCCAGGCTGGAGTGCAGTGGTGCAAATCACGGCTCACTGCAGCCTCAACCTCCTGGGCTCAAGCAATCTTCCTGCCTCAGC